TTAAATAAGTGTTGATCCCATTGAGGCCATTAAGCTTAAAGTTAAAAAACTAACCTCTTTGCTCCGCAAGATTTTGGCATGTGTCGTAATAAATGCGAGATATTGTTAAATGTCACATATAGTAGTCTTCTCCAAAAAGTCTAATAAGTATATATATTATACTCTTTGTCATCGTCATTACTTCATCTACCGGAAAACGTCCACTTCTGGACAAAAACTACCCAAGAAATATCATCTAATTAGGTACAATTAATAACAATTTTAATGAAATCAGTTTGGTAACTCTTTCAGGGTAACTGTACTTACTACTTTGTTGGTAATGTCTATAATTTGTAGGCTAATTAATGACTACCTAAAATAATATACTTATAGTCACTAAGAAAGACAACTTGTAATAAAATAAGGTAGGAATGCAACGAAGAACGATATAATGTAATAAATTAATTGTCACATTATTTTATTGAATTAATTATCTACAATTTGAATGACAACAACAGCAGAGAATGCAGCATGCTATACATAATAGGCACGGGGACCAAAACAGTAAGGCTGCTAGCATACCCAAACATGTCAATAGTTGTTTACATTTCATCCGATTAGGTATCTTGTCACATTTTGTCATAGGAATCCATAATGGAGGTGCTCCCACTATTACATCTCGACAAAATCCAGTAGGACCGTAAGTGTAACAGCCACTCTGTCTGTCAATACTTTCACCAAATTCCTTAAGGCGACGCTTCGTATTCTTTACTTCCTTTGCCAATGATTTACGTATACTTTTCCGTCTTTTGGTGGGACTTACCACCTTTGGTGGTACTTCTTCCGATTCTAATTTCGGGGAATGTTTTTTATCTTTGATCTTCTTTGGTGGTTTTACTTTTGTTTCTTTCGGGGAACGCTTTCTACCTTTGATCTTCTTTTCTGATTTTTCTTTCGATAATAATTTCTTCAGGAAACACTTCTTTTTATGTTTGTAATTTCATTTTTTGATGAATATTTTTTAAAGCGCTGTTTTACAACTTTGGGTTCCTTAAAGAATTTTTCTTTCACATCATCACTTGATTTAGATTTTTTCCAGCGATGCTTTTTTTCTTTAATTTTTTTCTTGGGTTTATCATTTACGTCATTCTTTGAGAAATACTTCTTAAAGCGAAATTTCTGCTTTTTTCTACTAGGTTCATATTCTATGTAGATGCGTTTTGAATATTTTTTTCGCCTTATCATATTTTTGAGTTTCCTGAATATATTTCGACTACAATTCATTAAACATTCTTTAAAACGTCTCTTCCTAGTTTTAGGTTCATCCCAATATCCTAAAACCTTTTCGCCGCATAAACATGGGCCTGGGCAAGTTTGCAGTCGTTGTAAAATCTTTTGGATTTCTCCAAACAATTCCTGCCTCTTGTATTCACAATCGGCACACGACTTAAAAGTTTTGCTCACCCGTATATCTTCATTTAGCTGTTCCGTCTGATTAACTACACCCTCGAGTTTTTTTAGGGCACTGTTTAATTTGTTCACAGCATTTAAATCTGGTGTATTATTACTGCAGTGCATAAGTTTTTGATCTAAGAATGCATGCATTTGCCTTAGATCTCTTTCCTTATCTTCTAAAAATATAGCTTTGTTCTGTCGTGATCGTCGACAGGTACAATAATGTGGACATGCCATTTTGTTTATAATTATTTATATAAGCAGCTACTGTTCTGGACACCCGTGCTATTGAATGATATGGAAGAACTTAAATTGAACAAGAATAAAACATTTGTATTATCTGTTGATTTCATAAAATGCTGTTTTGTTGGGCATTTCTGTTTTTGTATTTAAATTATTCAATGCTGATTACATTTTTTTTAGATTTTATAATTTTTATAAATAACAAAGATACGCGCCTATTTCCTATACATTTCGACACATTGTCAAATTGTCAATGAACCAAAATTTGGCTGTCATGGGTTTGACAAAACAAGGCACGTTTAGTAACACTACTACAAAAATACTTATTTAGGTTTAATTCCTCTGCGAAGCAATGAATTTGGTCGCGGTTTGCAGCAAGCTCGCGTAGCCCTCCCGCCTGCAAGTCAATGCACACGCAGTGCGTACGCAATACAAAACACACACACACACATCACCGTAAACAAACCACAGTGTTAACTCGACGATTTGAGACACCTGCAACGCTAAAGTGTCGTTTTGCTGTATGGTTGATGATAACACAAGTATCTATAAATTGAGGCCGATCGTGTCATATTAGTTTAAACGTTTCTCTCTTGGTATTTAATTGTGTGTCATGTGTTTTGTTATGGGGATACATACATAATTGTATATTCTCAGTTACTAAAAAGAAGTGAGGCCAAAGGTCCTAATCCCAACTCCTATTAAAACCCAATAGCCTACATGCACCTAACATAATGTAGATATTGTTAACAGTCGTATGGAAGTAAGTAGGTATGAATTATTGGGCTATTTTTTTATTTTTTTTTTTAAGGGGGAAAATCATCGAATGACTGCTCCCGCCTGGGTGAGGCGGGAGGCAGTGTCAGACTCTTACTGACTAAAAACCACCCCGTTCCTTCTCCTGCACGTCGAGTCGGAGCCCCGGTTACCCGTTAGGTTCTCCGCGACATGAATTATTGGGCTTGGGATGGTAAAGTAAAAAACAACAATAATGTCGTTGTAGTCCCAAGCTTAAGGCTCCTCAGCTATGAATAACACCAATAGCATCATCATCATTATATAACACCGTAATGTGTCTATTACTAAACATAGGCCTCGGGCCTTCCTCAATGACTTCCACATCGGCCGATTGGTAGCGACCTGCATCCAGCGGCTCCCTGCAAACTTAACTAAGTTATTTTCTGTTGACCTTATCGATGGCGCTGCGTTTGCCGGTATATAGTCTTCATTCGAGCGAGAAGCTCGTGTCTCATCGACCATCGGTTCTCTAAACTATGTGCCCTGCCCACTGGCGCTTTAGCTTGCTAATCTGCACTTCTGCAGTACAAAGATATGGCTGATAAGGGGTGGTAAACATTCACGTACCGAAACATGCATGGTTCTTCAACGTCGTACATACCAGAAAATTTCTAATTAAGTACAATTTTGAAATTAGCACGACCTCTTTAAACAAGCGTGGTGACATAATTATGCTGATCTCACTTTTAATCATAGATTCTTTTAATAGGTATTATTCTATATAAATTAAAAATTTGACAATTTCTTTCGATAAAGTGTCATTGGAAAGTCATGGTCTGGTCACTCCATTGTATCCATTTATCTAGGAGATTAGGTCCCACCCTAAACCTATCAAAATCAGCCACTATAAAATCAATGGTCGATTCGTTTGAAACTTACCATCTTAGTAGTAGACTTAAGGCTCTGGTCTAAGACCACAGCTATTGTAGGTATATTAAAAAACGGTGGAATACTGCATTAGTTTTATGAGATAATCCGGTAAACGTGCACACGAATCACCTGATGGTAAGCAATCGGTGCCGCCCATGGTCCCCGAAACACCAGAGGCGTTGCCGGCCTTTTAGGGGTAAAGAATTGGAGTATTGTGGGGATTCAGGGATTGCGCAGAATGGGAACCCAGCCAGGTAATTGGGCCTCCAGTAACCTCACTCACACGACGAAATAAGTACAACGCAACGAAAGCATTGTTTTATATCAGTCTTCTGTGAGGCCGTGGTTTTACTCTGGTCGAGCTGGCCCAGTCGTGCCGAAGCATGGTTCTGCCACACTTAAAACATAAAGTTGGGTTGTAAGTTTACTTTCAATTAAACCCTTGCTTTGGCTTATCCACGTACAGCATACAGCCCATATTATAATAACGACAACATCACAGCAATTTTGCACTACCTATCCTAATATTAGTCTTGACTTGATCTTAATCACATAAAATTTTGTACAATGTATAAATAAGAATAAATCGGGATTCAGGAATAAGATATTGTAGGTACTCTCTAAAAGTTTTCTGTTCGGAAAACAAATACTGAAAAATAGGCGTAAAGAATGCAAACTTCAACTTCGAAGGATACCGAGTGGAATAGATCAACACGAGCTCCATTTGTCAATAAAATTAAGGATCTTATGTGATATGCCGGTTAGTTGGGGTCAGCGGCCATCGCGCATCGCGCCTCGCCAACCGGGAGCGAGTAATGCGCGCATGTGCAGCCGGGCGCAAATTCCCAGCGAATGTCTCACGCGCACCCGCCGCCGCGCCAGTGCGCCACACGTTTGACGAACAAAGAAGTTTTTATCTTAATCTGAACAAAACAGGCTCCGGTGCTAACTCTAACCATGTCATATTATGTACAATGATGTGATAATACATTATATAAACCTGTACTGCCTACCTAAGTACGGTCCTAACACGTGTTATCTTTACTTGGAGAAGGGTGCTATACCTATATAACTTCCCTCTTCAAGTTGCGATAGTTAAATACAGTTGTACCTATATCTAGAAAAATGATGTTAGTTACCCAATATGTCCCTATATAAGTGTATAGGTACACAATTACGTGGAACTCAGGCTGGAAGTGTTTTCTTTGAATGATGTAGAGTCAATCGTTATGATGGTATGTACCTATTTCAGATCTTTTCTTGGGTAAGTATAATAACTGAAAAATGATAAGAAGAAGTACATAATACCTACATATAATATTTTCGCCACACTATCATCTGCTTGGTGTCACCCAAGTATGACAAAATCTTGGAACCTAATCTTATAATTATTTACCCTGGACATCTAAAAACTTAATTTTAGTAGAGACATTAACTAAATGTATCATATAGATTAGTTATTACCTATTTTATGGAAATACAATACATAGATATTAGATACATGTACATAAGCGCATTAAGTACAACGAAAGTCATAAAATAAAACCATCATGACATGATTTCATGATCCATCCTTGCCCTATCCATGCGATTTGAGAGTTAAGTGTATTTCCTGCATCAGTGAGGTCAGCGTCTCAGGCTCCCGTCGAGCGCCAAGCCGGCAGTCACTCTCTGCAGTCGCTCGGCAGTCGGCACTCTTGCGCAGAATACCGCTCGATTCGGGGCCAGACGAACGTCCGCACGGCCAGGCGCCGCGCACGCAACATTGGAATAAGTGACAAAAAGTGGTGAACATTAAATTAAATTGATCGTGCAAAGTGGTACTTCCCAGCTAAGGCCGGATCCCTCGCGACGAGTCCCAGGTATTTTTAGAGCAATCGAGCTCTCATCCAGAACTGGTTTTCTAGCTTTGTACATCGCGAAAGTGACTTCAATATCTTGTTAACACTGGTTGATCGCGAACGTGAATATTTAATACTTATTTAAAAAGAAACACCATACCTTTATTAGATTTATCAGTATAAAAATATTGGGATAATTATCAAGCTTGTAGCGTAGAAGTCAAGGGTACCTACTTTATGTGATAGGTGCGTACCTACATGTGAAATAAACAACAATCTATTATTAGCGGAACGTGTTGGTTTTATTTACACGTCCATTTCCATGATGCCACAACCAATTTTAAACAAAACATTCAAATTATAAATAGACGTCTACGTTAAAATCCCTAGTACAAAACTCGTGTTCTAAGGGAGTACAAATAGTTATGATTTGATAATTCCCTTATCATTTACCTACGTAATTAGGTATGTATGAAGTGTGACCGGTGGAGATAAGCGCGTGCAGTAGCAACATAAATAAATACAATCAGTTATCTGTTTGCAGGGCGACAAATGAAATGGCGCGCTACCAGCTCCTCTGTCTAATCATCGTCGCTACAACGGGTATGTACATTGGCAATTAACTAGAATATTAATATTAACTAATATAAGGGAATGGAAACAACAAAATGTTTGTTGAACAGTAACTTGGCACAGAAAACATTACAAATAGCCTCGTCTTCTGAGATATTGGCATGAATATGTAATACTGTCAGTTTAACAATAATCAAAATATCCTTCCTTACGTGTTACGTACTCATTGCACCTTCGAACAATGGGGGTTGGCAGAAAACGAGGTTCTGGCCAGCTACTATGATCATTATATATTGTGCTAATTTCCTCTGCATCTTACAGCATTTAACACGTGTAGATTCATAATTATTTATTTATGTAGATGTAGATTCTCGCTGCGTCGGATAAAGTAGATAGATAGATATCTATAAAGCGTGAAGTGTTTACAAATAAATAAACACAAACACTAACTTTCGCATTTATAGTAGCAACTTTGGACTATGTTATGATTTTATTACATACATGAAAGTTCGCGCAATATTAACCAAAGGAAATGAAGCAACATTTCACTGTAAATGTATAACAAACACTTTCTATGTAAGTCGGTACAAGCCGTTAAGCAAGTTTATATGCTAAGTGATAACCAAAGACCAGCGACTAAGCTTACAACCAATAGCCGGCCTGCTCTTATCTCTGATATCAATGCTCAAACGTCAGCATCCCGTTTCGTGATAGATGATAGAATTATGCTTATCTTTAATACATTAGAATAGACGTTACATATGAAATTGAAGTGTAGAACTATCTAGAGTGTCTGCTGGGTTATTCAGTTCGAAAGACCGAAGTGAGCTCGATCTCATTCTCACCCGTCAATGGTCGAGATTATTCTCGTGCGGATCGCGATCGAGATGACTTCAATCTTTCGAATTGAATTCAATCGAGGGAAGCCATCTCAGTCTCTACATCAAAATACATCACAATTAAGTACATATTAATACAGAAAAATAAAATGAGTTTTAATTGTTCTTATTTAATGTCCTTCGATATCTTTCTACACACTTATTAATAAAAGAATCGATTAACATTTAGGTACAGGAATAGGAAAGTACCTACATAATATAGGTATTATGTGCAATTTCCTTCTTAGGTAGGCCTAAGAAGGAAATTGCATAGAGATTACAATGATTACAATGATAGTGTACAAAAAAAATTAAGAGATTTGATCAGATTATATGTTTCGAACGCTATATCTATATCTAGAGAACTTCCGATTGAATAGAGATACAGCCTTTTTAGCGAAAGTAAACCAATGTCAATGTCGTTTAAGATTTTCACAAAACACGTGAGCGATACGGTTTTAGTGTTTCTACTAATAACCCCTAATTATCGTAAGCTCAGCTTAATGTAATAAGTGCTATAACAGTATAGACATAAAAAATTAATTCGACTGTTAAATAAAAAGTGCCATAAAATCACTATAAACTTGAAGTATGTAGTATCCTGCTATGCTATATAGGACTCTATGACAATGACATAAAGGTTTAAGAACAACCTTAATACGCTTGTCTCATAATGTATATGATTTTAACATCTCTTTTCGTAATAGAGGTAGTAAACAATGATAATAGATACATATACGATATTATGTTACAAAGATACAATACATACAATGTATTGTATCTTTGTAACGGTAACTTTACTAATAGAACACCTATATCTTGAGAAGCACTTAACTTCTGGAAATATACTCATTACCACGGAACTAATGGAACCTTAATTACATACAATTTGTTGCGACCAAATTCCAAGAAGATACGTAAAGTAATACATTTATTTTGTTACGTGGGTGTGATTCATGATTTCGATGATTGTATTGAAGACTCATAAGGAAACCCATTCTTATATTATCATGTAAATATACCTTATATGTGAGATCAGATACTAAAGTGTCGTCTGTAGTAGTAAATAGCGTAAAATAATTTACATAATGATTCATAGCTACTGAGTACGATTTCTCAGGTGGCCGTGAATGAATGGAGCGAGTGTTTCACCGTTTACCTCATCGTGTCCTCTCCTTAGCTTCGATATTTGCCCACTAACAATCACGAATGCACTCTCTGAAGGGCAAACATAGACTAGATTACTACCTTTATTAAAGTTTAGCACTTAGGGTCTTAGGTACACAAGAAATAATATTAAAAGTAATTAGTACCTATAGGTTTTAAGAGGGCCCAGATATTCCATCGCTAAGACTGGCCAACTAACAAAAGTTACAAATTACTCTAAAAAAATGTAGGGAGAACAGATGTAAATCGAGAACATGTTCTCAGATCTAAATCTATTAAATACAATGATACTTTACATATTCATGTTGAAGCCAAACTAAGTCGATAATAGGTACAAAGCTATGAGTCTACCTACACACGCAAGGACCGAAGAAACGTGACCAAGCTCAAAGTTGGAGAAGGGAGTCTAGTCGATAATTCCCTTTCTCGGCGTAGGTCACCGGTTCAATGTACATGCATAACAATTTTATAGCCGAATGGAAGTTTCTGCTTTGATTATAACTGACCTTTACGACCATAAATGGTACATACCTAAATGTAAACGCACTGACCCCCAACAGTAACTTGGAATTTGGTGGCGTGGATATATACGCCTTTCTTAGTGAGAATTTAATCAAATCCTATTGCAGGCATACACATTGATGGTCTATTGTGAGGTGAAGCACCTTTTGATGTAGCGACACCCACACTATACAACATGAAATTACATTTACCGGCTCTCTAATGTCCCATTGCCGGGGTTCTAGTTGGTAATCTTTCGCTTTGTCCTGACAATTGGCCCTATTTGTAAAAAACTAATTATTTACTTAAAAGTGAAACTCTAAATTATCTCAGCTTCTTTCTTTTATTATCAGAATCAAGAACGTTGATATTTTCAAAACTGACTAAGTATATTAGGACTCATTTAATACTAGCCAAAAGTCGCACTCGACATACTAAGAGACATTGTCATAAAAACAAAGAAATTTTACAAAATAATCAGTCACAAAACGTAACATATAGATAAAGATATGAAATAAAACAGCAACTGACTTAAACAAACCGAAGATAGCGACTAAAACTAGGTGAGCGTTAATACTAAAGTCAAACAGACCTGCATTAAGGTCACGTGTAAATTAACATAATATATAAGTACTTATTGTTAGTTTAGCTTTAGTTGAATATCAGTGGACAGTGGAATGTTCCAAGATCCGTACTAAACTAGACAAACACTTAACCAATTTACCGTCGACCTAAAGGAAGACTCAATTTTAACTACAAGCAACGTTGTTATGTTCACGGACTTCATGGGTTAACGAGACCATTCCGGTCCGGAACTACACTTGGGTGCAAAGAACCGAGCCATTATTAGCGTTTATTCTTTTTCATTTTTTTGATAACAATTTGCTGATTTCTGAGCGTATTTCTAATTTAAGGCAGACAACGCACTTGTGATTGTGACTCCTCTGGTATTGAGGGTGTCAATGGGCGGCGCTGATCGCTTACCATCAGATGATCCGTCTGCTCCTTTGACTCCATTCCATAAAAAAAATACAAGTATTATATTAATCGATAACGATGTCGTATAAAAGGTAATTAATTTAGTTACCTTTAAAATGAGAGCGTCTTGTTGTAGTATTTTTTAAGTTATAGACAGACATATCGAAAATAAAAAAACGCTAAGTGCTCCGTTCCTTTGCTCCCAAGTGTAGTTTCGTTCTTTCGTTCCAGTATTATTGTTTTCATAACAAAATGTAGGTAAATATTTGAACACCAAGTGCACTTTATGTTAATGTCAAACAAACGTGAATAAATGGAAACCACATTTACATAAAAACTTGATCTATGAAGACGTGCTTGTTAATTACGTAAAGCTAATTTACTTTTGGTTTCTATGTACACAACTTTATAGTTTACTTTTTTTCTACCATAGGTCGGCAAATGAGTAGACGGCTTACCGACGGTAAGCAATCCGCGCCGTCCATGAACACGCGTAACTTGGAATTACAACAAATGTGTTGCTGACCTTTTATGGCTCGGAAATCTGGGAACATGGCCATTCGGGGATGGGGGAGTCAGAAATTGGGAACATAACACAAGCATGTTTTTACGCCGGTTTTCTGTAAGCCCGGTAGAACCAGCCCATTCGTGAATTTCGAAGCATTCCCACATATTTATCTCGTATCCACATTAGTGCTGACAATTTGATACAGAAACCGTATTAGATTAATAGCTACGTCGAGTATATTCATTCAAATCAATTATTCGTTTTCATGTGAAGTCTTCGTGAGTGCTCAGTGATTATACGCGGAAACGTTTACTATTCTTCCGGCAAGGGCCGTGAGAATGGCGGCATTAATACCATTTAAGTTTCTGTTTAACTTTATGGAATCAATGTTTAAATTATGGCCGCGCAGGGTAATCTATAGCTGGCGGAAACAACAGTAAACACGATCATTACTGATCAGGATAACTTAGTTGTTTAGCGCTCAATTAGCTACAGTGACGCACTCGATGGACTCAGCGCTGTCGCAACCTCCTAATAATAATTACTGTAAAGATAGGCAAAGGCGTAAATATAAAGTTAATATAAATATATCGCACATACTTTGTTATATTTAAACAGTGCATAATTCCAAATCATCAGGGGATGAATCCTGAATCCTGTACTCAGCAATCGGTGTTGAAAGTGATTTAAAACAAATATAAATTGCTCATACAGTTATATCATTAGGTTCATTCCATAGGTAGGTACATTTACCACAAAACACCTTAAATTAGTTGCAGGATATTGGAAAAACCCAACCTAGGTAACATTAGTTAATGACACTTTGATGCATAAAAATGATTAATTAGGTACTTATTGTACAGTACAACAAGTATTGTAAAGATTTCTTTGAAAATGTAGATACCTACAGATAGGTAAATTCCTATCGTCAATTAATTACAAATCATATTATCATTTACTTCCTTTCCTGTCACCTCCTATACTTCAATCAAATCCATGAACAACCCGTTATAATTGTGTTCTCACTTCACTACCATACCAATACGGTACATATACGACACAACAATCTTACTTTCAAAGCTTAATGTAAAATGAACACAAGCTACGCCTGCGGCTAATAATCTTACTAACAAGATCTAGTCTATTTGCTCCGATAAATACTTTCACTCGGAGATACCGAGACACGAGGTTACTCAGAACAATGAGACGGCTATAAGTCACTACATCAATCGCTTTATCATTCGGAAATAAGCTAAAAAATATGAGCTCAGACGTTGGTAGCACAAGAAACCGGATTTGAACACCGTTAAGTACACATTAAGTTAAAGCTGCGCCTGACCCACTAATTGAAGTGTGGTCGGCTGGCAACAAGAATGTTTGCATTTAGATAAAGTTTGGAGCCCACTGCACTTCTTTGTTAGCTAACTACTTAACACTGCCTATAAAAACGGCAACTTTGAACATGGTAATAACGGTTTCCCGACATTTTCAAATAACTTTCACATCGGCCGTGATAATTGATTCGTATAACTCGAGACTAGGTACGTATTAATCTTCGTGTTAAATCTGTGTACAATTACTGTTATCATATTCCAGATATTAGAACGTGCTACGGCGAGAACGAGACATTGAAGGAACAAGAAAGTACTTTGCCCGAGCTGGCTAAGGAGGTGGAGGACAACAGCCGTTACAAAACACTAGAGGCTAACGCAACTGTTCTTAAACTTCTTGTGGATGACAAAAATGGAGTCAGCAGGTACGATTTACAAAATATTTAATACCAATTACTTATTTTGGGCTGGAAATCTTCTTGACGATCAACATCAGGATTTTTCCTTAACCAATATATCAAATTATTATCATCTGCTTAATATATCTCTACCCAATTATGAATGCTACCTTCTTAGCTTGACACCCATTTTGGGTGGTACGAATTATTACACGTAGTTAGATAAATATTAGGTATATCTTATATACACTTTTCTATGCAGATCGGAAGTGTTCGACATGCTACATTCGAGGGATGACGATGAACACCACGTGGACTTGCCAACTTTCCCTGAAGACGCAGAAGATGCTCGGGCAGAAGTGCCTTTAACGCCTGATTCCCAAGCAGAGTTCTTACAAGGTAATTTGGAGAAAATAGCTTGAAGATTTATTCTGATTCCAATTAGGACCGCATTGACTATTATTTATGGTATATTTTCCAGCTGCTGGCGATGCTGTTCGCAAGGATTCGCAGAAAATACGATCCGGTAGCGTCAGAGGGGAACCAATAGGAGCTGCAGCTGGCATCATGGTCGTGGTCACTTGCAGCATCGTGTGCCTCGCCTACACAGCCCTCATCGTGTGGAGGAGGATATACCTGTAAGCACTTTCATCTATCAAACCCTTCCATAAAATTGAATTTAGCATCAAAAATAACGCGCATAATATATTTATTTACGTTCCAAGTGAACATAAAGTGGCTATTGTGTGGTGTAACCCGATATTCACCTCGAGAGCCGGTGCGTAGGAAGCGGTCAACTGGGACCAAAACTACGCCACGTTATGCAGAGTGAATATAATCCTCTGACGACATAAATATCAAACAAAGACTTCATTGCGCAGTTTATTTTTCGTTTTATCACATGTCATAATATTACCGAATTTACTGCTTTTTACAGAAAACGTAATGGCCTCAAACACGAACTTCTACGAAATGAAGAAACCATTGCCGAGACTAGGATAGAAGTAAGTCAAACATTTAGAACTTAATCGATGTCTATAATGTCAATCAGTCATCATCATCAACAGGCTATAAGTAGCCACTGCTGATCAAAGGCCTCTTCTCTCACGGGTTGAGCATTAATCACCACTCTTGCTCAATGCGGTTTGGCGATTTCAAACTCATAGGTAGGTAATTAGGGATTGTAAGCCCAAGTTTCCTCAGTTCCTCCCGATGTTTTCCTTCACTGTTTGTCAGTGGTGTCTAGAAACCTAATCTTAGGAAGTACATAGGTATAACTCGGAAAAAGTCACTTTGTTACTTGTCATTGGTAGGTTTCGAACCCGCACTCTCATGCATGAGAAACGGGCGTTTAAACCTCCATGGCACCACTACAAGTACATCCTACATGGATAATGTTAAGTCGCATTAATCCAGTGATCACAGGCACGAGTTACGTTGATATATTATATACCATATATACCATAGACCGTTGTATGTATACTATAATTTTAAAAATTATATTAGATATAGTTGTCAACTTATTGCACCGACCACGCTCTCACTGCATCACCTAAAGGTTGGCTAGCAAGAATGCCCATGGCATTAAGCCCGCCTATGTACTTTTGTTGCATAAAGTTAAATAAATAAATAAATATATTTATATATATATTTAATTATTTACATATTATATTTATGTTTCATATTAGTATTTAGTATTGGTTTGTAGTTTATGTACTAGGATACCTTTATACATATGTACGTACATTTATCACCCTCGTTTTTATTTTTTTTTCGATAGATGCAAACTTCTTTTAAAGCCTACTGTAACACTTCTCTGCATCACCTTATGGTTGGCTGGTAGAGAATGCCATTCGGCATTAAACTGTCAAACACCAAGCGGTCACCGGTGACCGCAACCTATTGTTCTTTAATTGTGTCTGCAAAACCGGTACTCGACGAGTTAAGTCCGCCATTGTATACAGTTGTACATAAAGTATTAAATAAATAAATAAATAAACGCACAAAGTCTGTAATTGAGCTCAGTATATGAGGAAATGTTTACTCTTTTATAAATATATGGGAATACCTACCTACCTACATTACTCTACTGACACTTTGAGAGAATAGAAATCGTGATGGTATGTAACTAATGCCTACCTCTTTTTATCTACGGAGGTACTTGTATGTAGGTAGGTATAGCCAACAAAACAGCTGTTTATGTAGGTACTTTAAAAAACTAGAAGAGACCGGTATTTACAACTCGTCTACATTTTGTCGAATTCATACCAAAATAAAAATAAAGGTCAAGGTTCTTGAACTCACAATTCATAGTGTAAATACCTGTAGAGCCCACCGAGTAACTCGAACTTACTGAGAAATAGTACGGTGGTCGGTGCACATACAGGTACAGGTAACTGTGCACCAGTTCTGTTTTATAGTAAAAAAGCAAACCAACGCTCACGGAAAAGTCAAATCTTATTCATAATTAACCTTTTAAGCACTTAGTTAAGTATCTGCAAATTGTCGTGCCCCTAACACGAAGCTACAAATCGCTAAAAAATCTACAGCAAACAGGGAAATGCAATCGTGTTAATAAAAGGAAAAAATCATGCATGTTCTGTCGCGGAAATGCGACACTAGTGGTAGGGACTCGTAAATAGGTTAACTTAGTACGTATGTTATTGTTCAGTTATTATGTAGCTACATACATATTACCCACATCTAAAAGTAAGGTCGGACCCAGAATGCTACCTTGAGGTACGCAAAATTTTATGGTCAATTTACTTTTCATTGTTAAACTTTTTAAATAATTAATTTTGTAATTGTTTAACGTTATAACTGAGAAAAACGTCTTCAATATTCTTTACAGAAATTAACAAAGAATCCTTAACATGGGTACCACTAAGGTCTCTTCATAACACAACATCATGTTTGTTATTTACGATTATTTCCGTCAGTCATATTATTATGTCTATTAATAATTTATATTTTAGTCCTATGGCCTATGTAGTTATCAGCAATCATCATTAGCATAAAATAACAGATGCCTAATTACTTACGTACAAGGGAATAGAAGACGAGTCAAATATAGTGCAAAAGAATAAAAAATATATATAGGTAAAGCAAAGTCTAAAACTCCTTAATCGAACCGAACACATAAATAGAAGTTTTGCTTGGCTCTCTATTAAAACTAGATTGCAGAATGACCGACATTAACGTTTACCTTTTGTTTCAGCTGTGAACATCATGATGGGAAGAGCCTCGAACACGTTACTTAATTCTCCAGATGATCAGTTTCGGTGGCACCACTTTCCGAGAAGCTTCAAGACTGAATAACACTAAATTTCATAGAATAACCATCATTTAGAAACTAAGTAGGTCTACAATGTAGACAAGCTTTGTGCATCCATACATGAATTTTATGCAATCATTAATCATCGTTCATTCTGCAACCATGCTGGTAACTTGATGATGATAAGGATAAGGTTGCCTTTCATAAGATAAACTGGTTCTTGTCAAAAATTACACCTAAACTGTGTTGCACTATCTTTATTGATTCTATAATCTTGTAATCAGGCTTCACTGATTCTAGTCAAGGTAAATACTTTTCAATATATCGAAATTTCAGCTATTCTTCAGAACATTTTCTGTTGCACCTAACTGTAATTATTTTTAAGTGATTAAATATAATCGCATAAACTCAACGATTGTAAGTACAATGTTTGTATTTTATGGCAAAATTTTTAAGGTTTTTTTTTATGAAATCATTATGTTTTTTTTTTAATTACTTCCGCCGATTGCAAAATAAATCAAATAATAGTGTGCCATATCAATTTGTAGAATAAACCATGTTGGTTGTAGTCAATATAGTATGAGAACTATTGGCATGTTTAAATATTTATTTATAATTTAAAGTCAGAACATGTCTGTGATGTTTTAATTAAGGAAATTTGGTAATTAAATTTAATTTTATAACTAAGCACAGGTGTTTTTTTCTTACAAAACTTGTAGAACATAAGTTGTACCAAATAAAATAATTAGCCACCTTTAACTCGTCGAGTACCGGTTTTGTAGACACAATTATAGAACAATAGGTTGCGGTCACCGGTGACCGCTTGGTGTTTGATAGTTTAAAAAATGAAACAAAAATAATTTCTTATAACAGTCCAAAAAATTTATTGATTTCATTTTTCTAAGACACTAATTACAAGTGTTGTTCATAGCAAAGGCTATAACAAACAGCAAAAAAACATCTAAACATAAAAAAGTAACAAAAGTAAACTTAAAATTAATTGATTACGTGTTTATTATGAGCAAATTATTTCATTATTACTGTAATTTATATAATTTAATACATATTTTGAATATGGTAACAATTTCTGTAATAAATATAATCACATTTCGTTATCACCTTGTTACTTTACGTTTGTTCTTATTGCTCACTTGTTTTCCTTGTGTTTGACCACAACGGGGCCAGTGTTGTCACCCGTTGCCTTGTTGTGGGCACCGTGAGCACCATCACAGTACGGCCACTGAAATAATAGAAAACAACAGTTAATTTGACTAGCTACAGAGAGATAGTTCTTAGTTTGCTTATGACCTCTAACTTTTTTCTAAGATAAATAATAATAAACTATGATGCAAGGTAATAATGAATTAGATAAAGGCTACTTACTACACATGAAACAAGATAAGTATGTTTTTATTATGAGACCACAATCCTAATCTGATAACTACACAAATGTCAACTGAAAATGTGATAAATGAATAGTATGAAAAGATAAATACAAAACTAACTCTGTATTATCTTATTCAGCAACATTATTTTTGCAATCTGTAAAGAGATTTCTGGGAATTCCTGACTAAAACATGGTGACAAAAATAACAGGTATTATATCAATCAAGAGGTAGAACTACCCCACATTTTGCAGTGATGATGAGATGAGATGCCATTAAAAATTATGCAATAAAGGCCTTGTTCTAAGCTATTTTTTTTGTGATATTGCTAAATACCTACATCATGATGGAGGAAAATATCAATTAGCCTTTCAACAGTCAATATTATACACTATATTGGTAATGTTTTACTAAATAATACTAACGTTTTTGCTTTTCCAACAGCGGCACAGAGACACCTTCTCAGTAATGTCTTCAATATCAATAAAATCCACAACTTTGTTAAGATCCTTTCTGACGCACTGGTTTACTTGACCATTGCTACCAGCACGAGCCTTCTTGATGGTGTCATATGAGTAGTAGGAAATCCCTCCCACCACAACTACAGGCGGAATTAAAGCAAGCCAATCCTTGACTGGAAAAAATATAATACTCAGGTCATATAATTATCAAACACGGCATGATACTTTTATCATCACTTTAGTTAATTGACAATAGATCATTTTATAATCAATGACCAACAAATTATTAAATAATAGAAGTTGCATGTTAAGTTATCTAGTCTGTCATGTTGCAAAGTAAAGGCAAATAATTTCATTTGAAAGTATGTCATTGAAATTGTTCAGGAATACCACAAAAACAACCTTAATTCGACTATATATAAAAAAGGATTTTATTGCGAGCGCTTAGAGTTCATTATCACATGAGCTAGAATTTGTAACTGTGTAGTTTTAGAAACATGTACAGTTACCTCACGAGAGCTCTGTACGGTCTGGATATTGATAATTTTTAATGTTATTGTAATTAGAGCAACACATTTTAGAAAAAGTAATTACCATTTATCTTACAATTTAAAGAGAACTTCGTAATATTATATGATATACACATGGTCTCACTGATGCTTACCTCCAAGGCGAAACCACCCCCCGATGGAGTCAGGAATGGGTAACCCAGCTAAATAGTTGGGTATCGTAACTTTGACTAAGTTCGAGATGATGTACATTTTGATGAGTTTAATTTATTACTATTATAAAATATTCGTGATCGTAGCAGCCTCACTGGCTCGCTCACTACACTGGCCACAGATTATCAATTATGTTGAACTTCGGAGTGATCTGATAATAAATATTTTTCTTACTGACAGACTCCTTGACTGACTTGATAACTAGCATTTTAGCTTATCTGTCGTCATTTACATTTGACAATATTCGTGTTTTATCTAACATTCGAATTAGAAATCGAATAGGTACATAACGTATCCAATATTATACATAAACTAGAAGGCTAACAGCGGCAATTTTGAAAAAAAAAAATTCTAAGCATTACTTTCTCAGTTACTCCACAAATAGAAATAGGGGACATATTATCTACTATGAAATAAAGAAAACAAAGAAAAAGTTTTCCCTTATATTAATTATATTATGCCTTTCACAATATAATTAATATTATTTTATTTACTGAGTGGATGAAAAATGTACCTGATGAAAAACTTTCAACTGACATTGACAATATTGACAATTGACAAAAACAGAGAGAATGACTGACCAATGGCCTACTTTTTTGGAAACAAGAGTTAAGAGTTTTTGTGAGAATTATTAATTATTTAAAATTATGCTCATATGGTCTTAAGTCAAGCCTATAATTTTATCAAGAATTATTACCAATAAAATAATCTTAAACTGTTATTTTCTATTTAAACTGTAATCTCCTTTGTTTCAAATAAAGATGCACCATTCATCTTGCGAGTAAGGCAAAAAGCCTTGGTAGTGGAAGTCAGTGAAGAAGGAGAGAATGTAACCTCAACAAATCAAACTTCAAAATAATTACGAATCTGTACCTGTCTTCGCTTTGGTTGGGTGCGCTTCTTTTTATCGTGTGTTGTAATTTATGAATATTTTTCGTTAAATAGAATAATATCCATTTTAAATAGTCCCTCATGTAGTTTTTTTAAGTGCTACTTGTGAAATCCTTCGGTGGATACTAATCAATGCTGCTGTACACTGAATATGGCTGACGAAAGACTAGTGGTTCTGAATCGTAGTGACAATTTGGGATTCGGATTCTCTTTGCTTGGCGAAGCCGGTTTGCCACATATTATATACGAGATCGAAGAAAATTCCCCTGCGGCTCGGAGTGGTGAAGTAAGATATTAAATTATTATTTATACTTGTATAATTATCATACATGTCATCTATACATAAGTACCTACTTTTAACTTTATTGTTCACCAGCTTTTTTGCCTTAGAAAATGAGGAAATCTTAGAGTAAAATCATTAATACATGGAATTAAAAATGTAAATTACTATGAATTTACAATAGTCAAAATTTTATGGTGGTTTCATCCCATAATCAGGTGGACCATCTGGGACTCTTTAGTCTGTTTTCTCAAAATTCCTCCAAGTTGAACATTATTTTTAATGAAAGGCTAATTAGATTTAATGAGTCTATTACCTTACGATGGTGAGTCATTATTTTAGAAGTCTAATATTAAAAATAATGGTGAGTAATAAGGGTAATATGGTAGTAAACACCCAAAAACATGGTTCTAGTAATCAGTCTGGCATGATTCACTCCAACTCTGATTAAAAATAAAAATGTTTGCATTCCAATGAGTGCATACAATTTACATTCAAATAAAGAATATTCAAGCATAATTATGTTGCTATTTTTTCTTCTAAAAGTGATGAGGATATGATTCACAAACAACTTGTTATTGATTGATGGTAGTGGAGGTGTAAGTTTACAACATACTGATGTTTTGATTTTTTATTAATCACTGACAATTCCACAATTATTTAACCATTCAGTGTCATTAATATTTACACATTTTATTCAAATATTTTATCATGTTTATTAAAATTATTGATTGGGCATTAGATCCTGAGGTGTTCGCTCATATGTTTATTGTTATTAAATGGATTGGGAAAATACATTTAATGTTGCCCAGAATAATAATTTTAGTTAGGTAATACTGGTCTTGGTACATTTTTTCTGTTATTTCATATTTATGGTAAACTACTGTACTTTAGTTTAGAGTTACTTCCTACAATGACAAAAGGATAGTAAATAAAACCTCTTACAAATTACCTTGGAGAACAGGAAAATTTGACTGCATATAGTATTTTCATACCAGGTGCAACAGATAATGTAACAAGCAACTAATAGAATTACCCATTACTACTCTTCATTGTGTCAAGGTGACCATGTTTACACCTAATTATTCAGTTCATTTGCCTACTGATCATAATTGTCTACCTGCATAACAATAATTACTCAACCGCCACCAAAATATTTCATGTGTTTACAGTTTAATATACATAATAACTTGTTTTTATTGACCTTAAGTAGTTTGTGAACCATTTTTGGCAAGTTGATGCCGTTTGCCCTGGTGGGAAACCTTTAAATGCCGTGTGCTACAAACTTAATAAGATTATCAAGCTCCAATAAGTCCTTCTAATACCTTAGTTTAAACATGTTATTGATTGATAACCTCAGTGTGTCATATGCAGTGATAGGATTTATTAATCACTAGCTGTGGTTTTACCCACTCTTCTCGGCGCCTATTGATCGTAGTGTAATGTTTTATAGCCTATAATAGCCTTCCTCGATTAATAAGCTATTTAACACAAAAATATTTTTTCAAATAGAATCTGTAGTTCCTGAGATTAGCATGTTCAAACAAATTCTTATGCTTTATATAATAGCACTAGCTTCTGCCCGCGATTTCGACGCGCAATCCCGTACGATTTTCAGGCCTTTTTCTGCCTTAAGAACCTTCTAATAAATTTACAAATACATCAAAAAAGAATTAGTGAAATCTGTACATCCATTCACGGGTGATGCAGTGACCAAGTGAAAATGGGATTATGGTCATTTTTGCATTCATGGTACAGTCCAGTCATGGTCCCTTTAGCATTTAAATATTGAAGATATATTGATAAAATCAAAAGCTCTCATTCTCATTGATATGTGGCTGCACCCATGTTTTTTGTACTGCCAGATCTACATTACATCAGAACATGGATATATATGTATTAAGTAAACTAATCAATGATACTCATCTAATATAGTGATTCATGTCACTCTGTTGTACATTGCCCCACCTCCTTTTGCTACTTGTTATTTTATGACCAAGTATACAACAATTCGTACTACAATAGAACATGGTAATTTACGTTTCGCCAAATGACATCATAGATTGGAATTGAATGTACCAAGTAACTAATAAGTCTCTATTAAATGCGAAGACACTGCAGCCCCAGTCCACAGTACTTCCATGACATTGGGTCACACGGACAACAACTGATGATAGAGTTTAATTCATTCTCAAATTATACCAAGGCCATTTAAACATATCTATGACTCTGTCTGTAAATTCTCTGTTTGTTTTGCAGATAGATATGTTAGTACGTATGTACTTGTAGACAAATAAGTAATTAAACAATTATATAGGTAACTAAGTGAAAAATGTATGAACAATATTACTGGTACTTATTTTTTGTTGAAGTTGAGTTACGTGACTAAGATACGCTTTTGTGATTGACCTGTGATGATTCTATGACCATATGTTTACATCTTACTCACTACTTAAAAATAAATCCTCTAATAATTTTGCCAACATGTTTTGTACACTTTTTACGCAAAAGCTACTCGACGGATTTTGCTATACAGATGACCATGACCTTGCTTAATACATACAAACCTTTTTAAATCTAAAACCATGGAACATCGCAAATACCAATAACATGATAAACAGTCATTATAACGAGCTCATTGAGTCGTGTGGTGTCGAAGGCTGACAATGTTCATCATTGGTGTCGCCGTTTACCACAACGATCAGCTCGCAACACGTGTGTGGAATTACAATTACAACAGTGTTAACATAAACAAATTAATTGATACTTCTTACCTTATCAGATAAACCTATTCATAGATATATTTTAGCGCATATATTTTAGGTATTCTATTAAATTAAATTAGCTAAATTAAGTGTGTAGGTATAACAAATAACACTCCCAGGAGCCGAGTCTCTGACGTCTGAGAATGTCGTGTACCTATCATTCCATACAAGTCCACTAGTTTTCACTACTTAAACGGCATGTAGGTATATTCATGGACACGACCCGTAATCCCACGCAGGCGTGGCAGAGGTATCGCTCACATTCGATGCTTTTATAGGTACATCGATAGAATTTTTATGCTTCTAACTAACTACTATAATTTATTCCCCGTGCTAATGTTGTTCACGAACTGTTAATATGAAAAACTTGTTCCATTAGTTACATGTCCGGCATTTGTAAGATCTTTATTAGTTTGTTTATTTAATTTTAATAAAATTCTTGACCTACCTATTTATACTTAACATTGAAACGAAAAAAATAATCAATTTTTCAAATGAACAATAAAAGGTGCGGCGGATAGCAACGTATCTATCTATATCTTATTTGCTTATATGTAATTTAGTTTCAGGTAAAATACAGTTAAATTACTTCTTGTAAAGTCATAAAAGTCATAGGTGCATGACCGTCTCGTGTGTCTAGCCGCTAGCGTATGAAACAGAAGGTTCGAATCCTAGGCTATGTTAATACGGTTTTGAGCTTTTCTTGGGCATGAAATGAATAAAATATTAAAGATATGCTACATTTTCAGTCCCCACTCACGCTTTCGATTTTCCATTTATCGAGTCAATTATTCGATGCGTTCATGCGTGTCACACACAGTAAAGTATTATAATCCAAAGTCTCGTAATCATCTCGTCATACTGCATATGGCAACTGCGCCGGCGACCACTAACCACTAATAAACAATTCGTTTGTTTTGCGATTAAGATCAAATGTCATTTGTTAATTTAATACCATTGATTGGACGCGATAATGTGAAAGCATGCCGATAACGTTCTTTCACTTCTAATCTAATTATTGGCAGGTATCATAATAATCGAACGATGGTTACGTGATAACGTTGAGATTAGACTGACGTTTGTAACAGCTTAACACTATCTTTAAACGGATTTTGTTTTATTGTATCCGTAGTCTGGTGCGTATTTATATGACCAAACTTTGCCCGACACCAGGATTATCTCCTGTGTCATGGGTGCGTTTACAAACATACAAATTCACATACACATGACACCGAGACCTAGGAGTAAGGGTTTTTCTGCTTTTTATTAACTACTAAAAAGTAGCGTTATTCCAGACCATAATCATTGTCTGTTACAAATTTTATATCGATACTTTTAGCCGTTTTGACATGAAGGAGTAACATATAAACAAGCATACGAACTTTCGCATTTATAACATTAGTAGGATTTAATTATTTATATAAATAAAATAGTATAACATTTACATTACAGTCATAATTAATAGGATGAATTCCCTATTGATGTAGTCCTTGCAACCACATAGGTATGCTTTAGGACCTAAAATTCGGAATAGCTAAACGAAATTACAGGTTCCACAGATCTAGTAACACAGGGCTAAATATTATCTATGAATAAATGTTCTTCTTCGAACAAATTAATTTACCTTTTCAAAGCAGTTTCATAATATCTAATTGCTCGGCCAGGCGACATCTGTAGCGTATCTGTATTATGAAAGTAGGTAAGGATACTCTCATAATAAATTACTTTTCGCACCAGAACACAGTTTTTATTAACTTGAGAGCAGACGTCATTAAAACCTCCATTGTATTTGATCACGGTTTAGGTTTTTTCGTTTCCACTTCACCTAAGTTTTTCATATTGTGAAGGTTTTGTAATTATTTCCTCTTTTATTCAAACCTCGGGCTTTCAAACGGTTTGAACAAACACCCGTCCAGAACTCACCTTATATTGGACGAGGATAAAATTCCATTGTTAATTGTATATTATTTTCAATTAATCTACATGGCCTTATTTTTAACTAACTCATTGTTTCGTGCGTTTGTATAGAATTGTATAACAGTAATATATTATTCGTAGGCTTTAGCAATAGCTACAGTTAATCCCTTGCTTCGAATAAATCGTTAGAAATCATTTTCCGCTGCAAACTGAGGAAATTAAATTTACAGCTTAATTGTTTTCCTTCAACATATTTCATAATGAAATAGGTACCTATCGTAGGTTTCTAGCAATCGCAGGCAATGTGCTGAAGGTGCATGTCGTTCTAGGTAACTACAGATGTACCAATTTCGTTTCATTAACTCTAATTCTGGCGGAAAAGTTAATCTACTTAGACATACCAACAGCTACGTAAATTTTGCGAATTATTGACTTAATAATACTTTTAATTACAATTATGTGGTTAGCGATGAACTGTTTGTAATAAATTGACGTCATTGCTGAGATGTCTAGTCTACGTTCATTAACCACATTCGATACGTAATACGTGCCTATATGTTCGTACGCACGTCATTAATCATTATGCTTTAATTCCAATTATTTACATTCTACTCATTAAGTAATATTAACTCATACTTGCGAGGTTAGGTATACCTATCACTAGCTTCTGCCAGCGGTTTCGCCCGCGTTCCCGTGGGATAAACAGTAGCCTATGTGTTATTCCAGTCCATAATCTAGCCCTGTTCCAAATTTCATTCCGATCCCTTTAGCTGTTTTGACGGGAATGAGTAACATACATAATTATACACATAAGTAAACACATAAACTTTTGCATTTATAATATTAGTAAGAAGTAAGATAACTTAGTCTACAACTCCATTCATAAAACCTGCTCCCCTAAAGCCTAACTCTCTAAAGGTCTACTGGTTACATCTAAAACCATTTCTAGTGATACGTAATCTTCTTCATATTTTGTCGTTTTCATTGATAAACCTTTTACGTTTGACGAATCCACCTAATAGCTCCATTATCATTTAGACGAGGTACGCATTAAGTAACAATAAAAGTCTTCTTTCAAAATAATATTTAGTCAACATGGAATGGAATTAATGTCTACACTGAACATTAAAACTAACTCAAAAGGTTTAAGTGAATCCTGCTGTAAGTTGTTCTTTTAAATTATTAAACTCTATAAAACCTTGTGTCTAGTTGAGAGATAACGTCCTTCCCAGACTCCCGACAGACCCAGACAGGAACACATTGAATTTGAACAAAGACAATAATTTTCGATCCGTAGAACAGGTACCCTATAGATCTGAACATGTCGCCTGTTATTTCCCGTGCGGGGATTCTGTTAACTAAAACGAAAATATTAAATAACATTATTTCAGAAAATATTGTATAGATTGTAGCGTCTATATAAGTTCAAATTAACCGGCTAATAAATGAAACCTGTGCGGTAAGATTGTATAACTAATAAGCAACACCGCGTTTACTCAACTTTGCATAAAATCAACTTAAAAAAACCAGTTTATCCTGAAATTGTTCATGGCCCGTAATATTATACGAACGATGTTGTTTTCCCGTAAAATGTTAATTTCTGACATCAGTAGCAGCTCATTCAATGATTCCGCATTATAAATAGTTTACACCTTGTTATAATTGCTCCACGATGACGTGAGACATGGCCACGACCACTAACCAGGACAGGAAACATTTGTAAAGTAGTTAAATTGATTTGTTTGGCACTCAATGTTACATCCGAACTATGTATTTACATTCTGGGGTTTGAGATAACACACAACGTGACGATTGCTCAAACAAAGCAGTGAACAAGTATATTCGTTATTGGCAGGCGCTGGAAATGACCCTCTTTATAGACGTAGGATCGTATAGGGTAGCATGGGCTATTCGATACACTTAGCACGCTAGATGGTCGCGGTCCGTTTGAGCTCATTTCACTCTCACAATCTGCAGATAGTGCAGTAGCGAGCAGTGTAGATAGATAGGTAAATAATGCGTATCATGTTGGAGCTAACATAGGTTCGAACAAGAGCTGGGTGAACTGTAAAGAAGTACTAAAAGCATGTAGGTGGTACATAAAAGAAGTACGAGAGTGGGCGTAGCGCCTGCGGTCGGAGTTACTGGCGCCCGGACAATCCATTCGCCACTAGCCACTACATGCCTGCAATAAATTCTTGTCTACAAACACGTGCCACATTTTACAAAAGTGTAACATCACTTACAACTACAAATATAGATATAAGATAGATACCTATGTAGCTCACAAACTCGCACACTGTACAAGATGCAGATGTCTTTCATTCAACACTGACTTGTCTCATATAACACCGTTCATTACACCTTAGCTATCAGAAATCAACAGACAATCATTTAGACAAAGAAAAGTATAAAATATTGTTTGTTTCTTTGTAATTCTGCACCATGTAAACAATCTGAATTGAAAAATCGTCTAATTTATTATTAATAATCTAATATAATTAACTTAATTATAGTATAAGTATTTCCAAAACAAAACATATGATGTTGTTTATCTACAACGACACCAATTACCATATCAATGACCTTTTAATTGTGTATTGGAATCTGAAAGTTTGTTAGGCGTCCATCACCGGAGTCCAGCTGCTACATAATTCATATTTCCGCTACGCTCTTCTGTAGGATTTTGATCAAATTTATCTGTGTAAGCTCAATCCATTAGCGGACCCTCGTGTGAGTCGTGTGTGATAACGACAAGTTGACAGTGGGACGGCGGCCGCAGCGGACGCTCGCATACTCGCACCGCTACTCCCCGAGTCCCCATTAGATAAACTTATCCGCTCCAACGTAATGTGCTCGGGAAGTCCTGTGACCAGAAACAAAATCGGAATATAAATACGACCTTAATCGAAGGATAAAAGAACCATGCCGCGTTGTTTGTTTCAAGTAACGAAGTGTTTTTAACAAACCGGTCATGATTAATGGACTGCGCCCCAGTGAATCATTGACATCGCCGCAAGGATGCGGTGATATCGACTGTTAATCGTCAATAAATTATTGTTTAACTATAGTTTCTGTGTAAATAATAATAATTAGTAAAGTAATGTGTGTGTGTGTGTGTGACTACGATAACAGCGCCAGTTACTTTACTCACGCATCGGTTGTAATTTGAAATTTAAGGTTGGTATTCGATAGCATTGCCAAATTTAGTTGATACTAATGTTGCAATTTCTCTTCTGCGGCTCAAGTATGGTGTAGTACTAGTAGATAACCATGTCTCTCTACCTAATAGGATCTACAGACAATAATAAAAATAAGTGATGGGCGTCTTGCTAAGATTTGTTGATGATCCAAATGATCCAAACATATGTTCACATCTATCCGATTCTGTACCAAGACCTTGTTAGTGTAATCTTTCTCCAGTCAGTTTAGGTCACGTGCTATCTATTGAAGGCTGTGGTACTCATGCATATGCATGTTTAAAGTACATTTATTTTATAATAGTGGATCGATTGTTAGTATCGTCACTCCTTGAATCCGCCGCTTGGATGTAGTAAGCCACTTTCCAGTTATGTTTAATATCCAGTCGGGTGTGACTAAAATAAGTACTCGCTGGAACCCATGCATCGTATCGTATCGTTATTTTATAGTTTACACGCCGTAGGCTCGATGTTTTAACATTTGAAATAAGTGAATACGCGTGTTGGATTACAGGTCGAGGCGGGAGACGTTTTGCTCAAGGTTAATGGGACTGATGTAAACCGGTTCACTACCCGAGAAGGTAAGGAATTTGCCATTTATCACGCACATGCTACTTATCTACGAAACATTCTTAACACACAGATAACTGGCAGTGTAATTGAAAATGTTATTTCATCCCGTATGTAAATACGTTACAACAGCCACTGTGATTAAAATTCTAAGTACCCTAGATTGACGGTAGAAGGCGTCTTGTGACACGCGCGATATAACTCTGTGGAGTAATACGCACAACAATATACTGAAAGAACAGTCGTGTTGTGTTATTAAAACGTCAAGTCTGACCGCTATCTTTGAACTTATTAACACTAATTCAATGATCGCGTTATGGCCGGCTCGTGCCCGACACGCAACCTCGCAATTCGCATTTTACACGTCTACATACAGACCAACAATAAGAAAATAACCTTTTTATCCCGCAAAATTGATTTCCTCCGCCATGTAATCAAGATGTTATCACAGCATAAATATATAAATATTTTCCTTTGTACGATGTGCACAATAGAAAAATATATATTTGTTTATAATTATTGTATGTTGCTGTATTACATAGTCATGTACAATAACCGATGTTGTATTGTTGTACTCCTATAGAATTGATTGCTTGTTACAGTTCTAAAATGCTTGCGACTATCGTCAGATCCCGTCACTTTAAGACTGAGAAAGGGTGAGTTTAATATTTTAGTCAGAACATAATATATTATCAATGTATTGGTGGAAATGTGCTGTTTGAACTATGACATTCGGGGCGGTAATATATCGTGGCAGCTGCAAGTAATAAAATTCGTTTATCCCCGAGTGGTTTGGTCGAGTTTGCGAAGTAAGCCGCTACAAATAAGAGCTATACGCGAAGTAATTTTATAGGTGGCTCTCGGGATCTGGGCCGGGGTAACTCTCGTTCACAGTGGCTTTGTTCTCCTTAATAATGTAATATCACAAGCGCAACACATGGACGTACAAATTGTATAGTTAGTTAGTCATGAATACTTCATGAGTTGGTAGTTGCAGGGAGGTTGTTGGATGAGCGTGATATAACAGCTGATAGTCCGATGTGTGCAGACCCACAGATCAAAGCGAGTGTGAGGCGGTACCTGGCCGCGGCGGCCGAGCGTCGCTCTAGCGGCGCGGGCACACGCACCAATCACGACAGGTGAGCTCTCTTCAGATGTTCTACCGATAAGCCCATTGATGCTTGTGAAAGCTTGCTTGACGCTTCGACAGGCATTTTACGCGCGCTTCTTACTTTCATACATCCATCCATTATTAATCAATTTATACATAACAAAAGCTACACTGTTGTGTAGAGATATCCAAAACATTTATTTTGTGAAATCGCAGACGATTTCGCAAGTTGTACTTCATGAACGTTTGCAGCGTAAGTGAAACCTAGTGTATGTGGTAAGTAATCGGAAGCTAACCCTCTCTAACAGTACGACAGCTGATTTCCGACGACGATAGGTGATTATGGGTAGCATGTGTCGCGACGGAGGGTACACACCCTCGCCACTTTGACACGTCCCTCGTACGCGTGTATTTTTGGAGCATGTATAACTCTGATAACTGTATTGTTTTACTTTGAATTCTTAATTGAGTCTTCAGATATTGAGAATATAATTTTTTTTTTATGTAATCGTTGTACTGCAATAATATGCATACTGCGGACGTACGTATCAATGTATGCGGCGTATTGCTTGGCTTATTTTAGCTTTGAATATTTTATAGCGTGGTGGGTAAGATATTCGGAAAGCATTACCAACAGCTGTTGCCAATTGATGAGATCGATTTAACGACTTTCTAAAATGGATTGTACATGTAAACATTTTTCAGTTCCTAGTCGTTTCTTTCGACAACTTGCACACAAACTATGTTGTGCTGTGACGTGAAGATTTATTCCGTTATAAAAAGCAAGCTGCTTATTTCTTTTTTGCATAAATAAGTATTTTTAAGCGTTGTTTGTAACACGCGTGAGAGGCTTACAAAAACAAAAGTGTTACACACGCAAACAGCAAATTGTTGTTTTATATTATTTTTGAATGTTCTCAATTTTGTAACTACTTGAAAACCGCAACGTTTAGAAGCGCTGGTGTAAAATGATACAACTCGTATTGTCAAAAATCTAAAATGATTCCAATTGAATTGCTATAATTATTGTCGTAAAGTAATATACGAGGACAGGCTTGATTACGGTACAAATAAAATGACAAATATAAAAACTGACATAACAACATAATTTAATCAAGTGCTTACATGATACAAAATTAAGTCTAAAAACGTACAGTTACTATGTAAACTATCTTAATTCTATGTGTAAAGATAAAAATATCTAAGTTATCGGGATGCGTCACCGGTCACCGATATCTCCTGACTAATTGAATGCCTACCTATATTTATCTGTTGCGACTGCTCATGAGACAATCAGACAGCGTCTAGTCAAAGTCATCGGATGAGCGTGAATTCCAGCTGTAAATATTTCAGTGATTCTTTCGTATTAAAGTTCGGATGAAATCTGACATTGGTGTTGGCAATAATTTTTTCAATTACAATGTGACTGATAAATATTACTTACTAGTTGTTCCGGTGAACATCGTACCGCCTAAATTTTTTCTCATCTTATAAACCTTCCCTGGACTTCCACGAAAGTTTCAAGACTAAAATTAGCCAAAGCGATTCAGCCATTCTCGAGTTTTAGCGAGACTAACAGAAATTCGAAATAAAGGATCTGTTAACTAATTTTAACTAGCAAATTATATTATAACTAAATTCATAATATTATTTTTTATTCGATTAGTACTAATATAGTTGTATATTGTGAATAGTTTGTACTTATTTACTTATCTTCCCGCATACGGCATCACAATCAATGCACTGGAAAGTTACTGCGTCCGTAGTTAATGTACTGAAAAGTGTAGTTTATGTTCTGTAACCTATTTGTAATTAGAGCGTAGGTACTGCACTCCAACTTGTTTACTTGGTACACGTGCGTATAGGGGAAGCTGAGGGCTGTGAGGGCTCGTGAGTATGTAACTGCCTGCAGGTCGATATTTGTATACCGTACGTACTGTACTTCTATTGAAGGAATGACGAAATTAACTTCCTTACTTGCTAGTTAATCCTACTAAACGGTTTATTATCAAATTTTTCTCCAAATATTTCAGACAGTAAAATTATTAAATAGTATAATTAAACTTTCGCTGTACAATTTTTCAAACATCTTTATGTAAATTCTAAACTGACTGACTCTGCGATCACGCGTCCCGCAAAGTACAAAATTGAACAGAATCCACATTAATTTCAGCGTATCTACCGAGTGTTAAAGTACCTAAGTAAGTTATTTATTTCCGTCCGTGCGTGAATCATTCCTGAAATGGGTCGAAATATAGCTTAACGCTAATTCACAGCAGATCGGCTTCTCCGCCGTCGAGCAACTCGAACAGCAACTCATCTAGCAACTCATCGAGCAACGGGTCGGGCGTGCAGTCCGGGGACAGTTGTGAGGCGCTGGTGGGAGTGGAAGACAAGAGAAGGGGCCGAGTGACGCCCAAGTTCGAGGCCTACATGATGACTGGGGACCTCATGCTCAACCTGTCGCGAGTAGAGCATCCGCACCACAACCACCACGCGCCCACGCATCGGACACACTACCACAGGTAAGACGACTAAACAAAGTAGTAACACCGCACCGCATAATACACTTTAAGAACACTATAATTGTTGATCACAATTTCAAAGTTCAAATCAATCTGCGTTTTATTCGAGAGACCTCAAAAACAATTTACTTAACCAATTGGCATTAATTCTCCTGAGTCATCTGTCATATTTGCGTCTGATAGTGTAGTGACCGCGTATTCGGTGCGCCACTGATATATTCACATTCTTCCTGTTCCTGTAACGCTTGTTTACTCAACTACTTCAATAAGGACTCTCAAGGTGTCATTGAACTTAGCAAATTGCTAAGAAGTAAGATGCGAACCAAAAATAACTAGGCTGGTCGTTGTAACTATTAATTCTTTGTAATCAGTAATTTTTTGGTCCAAGTTATACTTTTGAATCGTCCCAATTGTCCTCACTTATCATAATAATGTAAACGCCCCTGTGAGCGCTAAATGATGACGCACCAGGAAATGTCGACACTCTAGTATCTGCATTGCGATCCGTTAAGAATAATTTAGTGTAATCTAGTTGTAACTAGTTTATTAATTAGTATTTTTTATCAGGTACAACTCGACGCCAGCCTCACCCAGTGAGAACCGAATGTGTGGACGCGTGGAGCTCGCGCAACGACACAACTCCTCGCCCGACACCGGCCTCGTTGGAGACCATGCTAGCAAAATGTAAGTACTACTTAAATAAAGAATCCACCACACAGGTCCTTGCTAATTAAAAATACTTGATTGTTCATTATAGTGAGGATTTATGATATCAATAATACTTGCTGATTCTAAATGAACCTTCAAAATCAGTGATATATCCTTCCTTAGTAGAAGTCTTTTAGACATCAAAATTATGAACTTAGTTTATACCAAAATTTGGTTTAAGTTAGTTTCTCTTCTATCCTATCATGTTTACGTTATCGCTATTTCAATAGAGATGGGAAAAGGCAGATGATAATTATCAGCTTATCATTTATCAGTTGGATACAGTCACCAGTATATATCGTGTAAAGGTCTAACCAAAACTTTTATATAGACAGTTTATCATGGTTACTCGCGGTTGTTCCACGTCGATTTGTCATCGGTGTAGATTTTTCATTCGGTAATTACTTTACTAGTGATCGTTTACCCTGGGTATGACCTGAACTTGCGAGCAGACATCAAGATGTGTATACAATGTCCTCTAAGCATTTGGTTGCTTTACTGCGTTCTCCAAAGCCTTCCTCACAAGTCAAGAATGGAAATTGCAATCATGGCAGTTGAAATGCCTTTGTTAGGTAATGTTTGTGTTCCATCCACGTGATGATGAGCGTGATGTTTGTGATGGTGCAGGTTCATATCCCAGCCGGCGTCTCCCGCGGGCGGCGCGGGCGGCGCGGGCGCGGCCAGCGACGTGTGTGCGCGCGCGCACCACGCCGTGCGCACGTCGCGCTCCGAAGACCATCTGCAGGTACACCTCCGTCTACTACTATTGGAAAAAGTTCTAATTATATTGTGTGAAACAAAATAATTTGAAACTTATCAACTATCAACAGAGTCGAGTATGTAATGGTAAGTTCCAGAAGGAGTCGTCCCTGAGTGCTGTGGCTGTGGAGATGGAAGAGGACGTGACGTCGTCACTCAACACTCTATTGGACGCGCGACCGGATTCCGCCACTCCTGGACCACGATCCGACTCCGATCCTGAGCGGGACAGGTGACACATACATACATATTGCATATACCTAATATACTGATACTCACACATCATGACCGGGAGATATATTTTAAAGTAGCTTTAACCCAAGTCGTCCTAACTATAATACTTTAACTTTACCTTCCTCAAGAATCACATCTAATTGGTGAAAATGGTACAAAATTTTCAATCACCAACTGCTTTTAAAATTGGTGTACATAAACTGGAGGTTGATAGTAAACTGATCCAGCTTGAAGTCTGAGAAGTAAGAAATTGATTTACAAAATTATAATTTTGTCTACGCCTACTCTTAGTAAGTTAATAATTCGTCTGACAAATCACATAATATACGGAAGATCTTAATTCTACTTTAGTCATAGTTTTGTAAGTTTGACATGGATAAATTTTAATATTTACTAACAAAAATTAGGTATGTATAATGTCCTGGTCATGATGTAGAGAGTCATACAATTTCGTCATCCTCAAACATAACTTTAATGTTTTAACCACGCTGCTTCGCGTTAGCATCACTGCTCAGTTTATTTCTGTCACTTCAAAACAATTTACTAATTTATCATTAATTAATAACAATAACCTAATACGCCAATCGCAACTAATCTTTTTTACATTCAGTATAAAAACATAAATATAATGTATATGTGTAAAGCGGACTTAATACCTGGTGGCGTTCAAAGAAATGAAGAGGTTTTATATTTGAACTTTTCTGGGTTTAAACCTATTTTTAGTCGAATTCAACCAGTCACATCCCTAAACCTAAATACGTAAGTGGGACTGTAGGTACTTGGGGGCTTACGCACTAGCGGCCAACCGCGCGGCTAGCTGCCCCCCGCGGCTGACTGCTTTTCCAATTTATAAACAACCGCGATACAAACCGCCGTGGCAACCGCGTCAGGTGATACAAACCGCCGCTAGTGCGTAAGGGGGCTTCTTCGATCAACAATAACAACTAGATAAAGGGTTGCGTACAAAATCAAGCTCCAGTTCTGTCCGTGTGAATAATAATAGTAAAAAATAACAAACAGAGAAAAATGTTTTAAAATAGTTTTAAGTTCAACCTAATAACAACCATGGCACCTAATAATAAAGTCATAAATCGTCAAAATATTATCTAATACTTACGACCATTCGTCACATAAGACAAGAAAAGTATTTTCTTACTCCTGTCATGTAGAAATTAAAAGACATAAGTTATACAATATCTAGTTTGAATTCAACCTTAAGGTCGAACAAATAAAGATAATTTTTCCATTATTGTCTTGCGATCTATATCGTTTTGTTTTGTTACGTTTTGCTTCTTCAAATTTCGAATTTCGCTACAGGAGGTATGTATGGAGTCGCGTTGGACACTAAAATAATTTTATAATATGAAAATTAAGATTTCGGGATCTTAGTATACATCACTAATTTTTATTAGCGGTACGTTTTTGTGTATGATATGTTTATTTACTTTATCATTAAAAGTCTAAGTCTAAGTCAAAATTATTTATTTCAGTTAGACCAGGAAGGCACTTTTGAACGTCAACAATATAAATTTAAAAGTGAAGCTATTTGCTCATTCCAAGGTGTAGATTCCTATGGAGAAGAACGAGCAAGAAACAATATAATTTTATTTTTCAATACAAATCGACTCCATGCATCCACTGTTCTGTTTAAACAAATGTTGGCGAGACTTGGCCAAGGAATCGCCAACACACGCACAAACATTGGTGGCGTTGGTTTATAATTGATAATTTTGTCTAATTTGATATTATTTACTAGTATAAAAGCTTAAAATATAACTTATACTTTATGTACTTATCAAAAGTAAGACACTCCGACCGTTATACTGCTTTTTCGGTTGTTATTTTTGCAACTTGCAATTACTCGTGACACGTGAGTACATTGGCCGTGTTTGGAGCCTACTAAACAAAATAAGAGCTCACTTCTCAAGTGAGCTCTTATTTGTCGAGACGATTTTCTTGCGCCGACCCGATATCTAGTTGTTATTGTTGATCGAAGGGGGGCTTAGACATCTACATGGGTACGTGGGTAGAGTAGTTCGGTAGTGCGGTAGTGACGGGTGTGTATATACGTAGGATCGTGTGGACGTACAACGCGCCGGTGTCGAGCGCCATGGAGCGCGCGGCCTGCAACGGCTCGGGCCGCTCGGGCGCCACCTCCAACTCCACCTCCATATCCGACGGCATGTCGCAACGGTATGCCAACCTTTTTTTATAACTCTACACACGTTATATTTATGTCCTACAGACATTCTAAGGACCTGTTTCACTGCCCTATTATAAGTACCCAAAAATAATGATAGTTCATAAAAATTATGTTCTATATTCAAACTTGTCTGGTAGATATTTTCTATCCAGACATTGTGAAACAGGCCCTAAATTAGGTTACGTATACAGCTTACTTCCGTGAACTAATGTCGAAAGCTCTACTAATTTCGAAGCAACATCGCCGCGCAGCTATGAGTCCCACTATGACTTGAAACTAGTAGAGCTTTTCGAATAGTGCAAGTGAGAAAGCCGTATTTCAATTAAACTAGAGTACTTATTACTCTGTAGTGTGTAGATTTATGAAGTTTTTAAATTGAATATTTTTGTTTAATATTTTTTACTAGTGTTCTATTTGTCGATTTATATCTTTGACACTGTTTGGGCATACTAGTCCTTTGTTCGGAGATAAAAAAATCTATCTGACTCTTAGTTAGACATAATATTATAACACATTTCTCTCTGTATTAGTAAAGCAAGTATCAGAAATTCAGTATGATGTAGCGGAAGCAGTGCTTGCTAACATTAGAGCAATAAGGCGTTCTACTGACAATTAATTTAATATAATCTTAACTTACCAATTATTATTAACACTGCAATTAATCTGTTTTAACAAACAATTTCCACACATTCAGCTTTGAATCTTATGACTTGTAACATTGAGGTTAATTCTGTGTTAAACTTTTAAGCAAATAACTTGCATGATGCTAAAGATATGGTAACGTCATTATAAATCTTTGAAGGACTCTTTAAATTTGATTGGGCTATAGTTTTAAATACGCATGTGTGGAGCATCCAGTAAATTTATATGAAAAATTTATAATAATTTTCCAGTATAGTTTATAATTATGTATTATTTCTCCAGGTCGTCGTCGCCCGCGTCGCCGACGTCGGCGTCGTCGTCCGTGATGTCGTCCCGCGCCACGCCTCCCCACCGACACCTCGTCACGCACCATCACCATCGACCCCTCAATGGTAACACTCAGATCGTTTTTACAAATTCTAAATATTCTAATATCGTTAAGAGATATCGAACCTTTGAATGTCTTTATTGTTTTTTCCTATCTCTTAACCTGTTTGCATTTGCAGGGGACATGAGTCTATCAGAAGCAGTGTCGAACATATCGAGCCCGGACTACCAGGACCAGGACGACATGTTCGAGACCGGGCGCGAGTGTCCACGGATGGAACTCTCCGACCCGTCCGACTCTGACTCCACGATACTAGTCTCCGAACCTTGCCACAAACGAGCCAAATCCAACTCCTCCTACTCTAATGAACACGGAAGTGACGTCACTCTCAATGGAGACCACAACAACGACTACAGAATAGTGATACAAGTCAAAGGCCCCGATAAACAAAACGCGAATGTCACAGAAAATGTAAATAACAATAATAATAGTAATTACACTCAGAATGGTAAAGAAAACGGTCATAACTCACCGGAGAACCAAGGATATCAGGTAAATCTAGAATTATAGTTTTGAACTCGAGTAATATCTCTGAATCTCCCACTTTAACTCGTCGAGTACCGGTTTTGTAGACACAATTATAGAACAATAGGTTGCGGTCACCGGTGACCGCTTGGTGTTTGACAGTTTAACATAAATAAAAGGTCTTCATGTGTTTACTATATGAATGTGTCGTATTGCAGGAGCTGTGTAGTGGGTCTGACGTAGGGTCGGACGAGGGCTCGGACGGGGACTCGCTGCACTCGTTCCACTACAGTCCCAAGGCCGTCGACATACCCTCCGCCGAACGACTCGCCAAGCGACTCTACCACCTCGATGGTTTTAAGAAGTCAGATGTTTCGAGGCATTTAAGTAAAAAGTAAGTTTTAGTACCAAATATCTACCTCTAATTAGTTTAGTATAACCATTGCAGGTCTACGATAGCTGGGAAAGTCAATATTTTAGTATTTTTAGAGAATACAGTAATCAGAAGTACTATCGGCCATTTTGTATAACCTAGAATTTTGTAAGTGAAATTCTCTATAGTGGCCAAATCTGTCGGTAGATAGACGGCAACTAATAATTGTACTAAATATAAATCGGTTTGGTATTTTCCAGTAACGAGTTCTCCCGCGCGGTGGCGGAGGAGTACGTGCGTCACTTCGAGTTGTCGGGCGCCACCCTGGACGTGGCGCTGCGCACGTTCCTGGCGCGGTTCGCGCTGTCCGGGGAGACGCAGGAGAGGGAGCGCGTACTCGTGCACTTCTCGCGCAGATACCTCGAGTGCAACCCCGGCTCCTTCAACTCACAAGGTCACTATTACAAACACTCACTGGGATATTCATTATTAAGTCATATTAACCGCGCGATTGACTTAGTCACTATTTATGAATTCTAATCGCAAATGAAATTGTAACAATAGTGAACAAAACTTATAATGGAGTTATTTGTGTTTATAACAGACGCGGTGCACACGCTGACGTGTGCCATAATGCTCCTGAACACGGACCTGCACGGTTGCGGCGGCGGCGGCACGTTCCGGCGCATGTCCTGCGCCGAGTTCATTGACAACCTCGCAGACCTCAACGACGGAGACAACTTCCCGAGGGAAACACTCAAACAACTCTACCACGCCATCCGGACGCAGCCGCTGCAGTGGGCACTGTGTGTACTACACTATTCTACCTTCTACTAATATTATAAATGTGAAAATTGAGCAGATGTATGTTTGGTATTACTGTTACTCATAGATAAAAATTCTAGACTAATTTTGACGAAATCTAGTACAGAGATAGCTTATAGTTCGAAATAATCCATGAGATAATTTTTCACATCAATAATGTTAATTAATACATTATCAAAGGTAACATACACTAAATGACTACACTATTAAGTTTTTTCCGCAGTATTTTCTCAGGGATAAATGGTTTTCCTAACTTGGTCTGTATGTGTAGCGATGCGGAAGCTCCCCCAGCGGCGCAGGGCGCGGGCGGCGAGGTCCGTACTGGCGGCGCGGGGGCCAACCCCTTCCTGGACGTGCCCGACCAGAGCCGCGCCATCGAATACAAGAAGGGATATGTCATGCGCAAGTGCTGCGTCGACGCTAACGGGAAGAAAAGTTAGTATAACCAAATCTCCGTAACTATTTAAATAGAGACCGACCACCAGTTTTCTGGCAATTTGTGCTCTCTTAGTCAGGTCTTACAACATAATAAATAGTACGAATGAAGATAGCTTGCTCGTGTAAAAAGTAGGGGTACTCAAAACTGTTCATATTCTACTCTACCACCACCGGTTCACGTCGCAATACTACGTATTTTATTATAAAACTCTTATGTATTTCAATTTGCAGCTCCATTCGGCCGTCGAGGTTGGAAAATGTTCTACTGTACTCTTCGAGACTTGGTGCTATATCTCCATAAAGACGAACACGGGTTCAGACGCAGTCAGATGTCCGATAACTTGCATAATGCTATCAGGTGTGTAACACATATTTACATATACTAATTAAGCATGTAATGTGGAACAATCACATTGATGTGGAATCAATTTCTTTTGTCTTCAGAATACATCACGCACTGGCGACGAAAGCGACCGACTACACGAAAAAGCAGCACGTATTTCGATTGCAGACTGCTGACCAGGCCGAATACTTATTTCAAACGAGGTATGAACATTATTAGATGCTGGGTTGTTCTTGTGTCGTGGATGCGTTTACAAACAAACGAGTTCACATACACATCAGCTGGGTTGCGCACCAACTGCGCTTACTATACAGTCTATCTGTGTGCCATAATAATAGTAGTTATAACATAATAATAATTATCGATGTTAACATGTTTTTATGTATTTTAGCGATTCGAAGGAGTTATGTTCGTGGGTGGAGACGATAAACTTCGTGTGCGCCGCGTACTCGGCCGCGCCACTGGCCGGCGCCGTCGGCTCACAGCGCAAGTTCCAGCGCCCTCTACTGCCCTGTACACACACCAAGCTCTCCATGGTACTGCACTACAGATATGTTTTATACAGTGGCGTGCACAGGTTTTCGAGACAGGGTAGGCAACTAAATATCGTATGATTAAACCCCTCTCCCCCCGCCGGTCATACAATCATGCTCACACAAGATAGGTACATGTACATAATACATTTCGAAAAGTGCGTTCAAGAATATTGTGGTGTATTCTTTCGCCAAATTACCTACACTGACGACTCGCGTATTTTTTGTGAAGTACTTCATCAGCTATTGAATAAGCCAACAAAACTTACAAATAATGAAGGATCTATTATTTATTTTAATAATAAGGCATAAATTTGATGAACCAAATTTCATTATGGAATTGTTTAGTTTAATCAATCTGTTCAAAATCATAATATATTGCGAATTTAAGAGCGTAGGTACCTACATTATGTCAACAAACAAAACAATAACAAGCGCGGCCGGCTGTGGCCGAGCCGGCCGAGTCTATGCGGTACATATGTTATTACTACATTACATAATTATTAATAATAAATTAATATGTAAATCAGTACAACCCGAAGTCTAAGTTGATATTTTTAAGAATTATCAAACAATAAACAAGAAAGTCAAATAAAAGATCCATTATAGTACATATTTACATTACCTACCTTTTACTTGGGTCAATTCTCGTAACTCGAGTACACCTCTGCCTATGGTCTTTACCTGAATCTAGTCCGATAAAGGACATTTTCTTGCGAAATGTTACTGTTTTTACTTTCAACAAACACATAAAATTACCTATTATTCACACACACTTCACAATCGAATAATATAGGTACTTGTACTAGAAACTGATAAACAAATACACTATTTGAAAAACCTACACATATATTTAACTACTACTACACATTTATGCAACTTTATGTTTAAAACTAATTCCTAATAATTTAAACGAAAACATAAACAAAGCGATCGCACATCACATGAAAACAATATGGCCGAAAACATTGGAAACGAATTGAAGTCATTACCAATAGTCAATTGAGTGTTTATTATAAAAAAATGTAGCTTAAAAATTAAGGTAATGCAGCGTTTAATTTAAAAAAAACAAAGGTTAATTTAGTAAGTCAAATGAAATTGCATCATCGTCTTAAACCAATATTTCATACTAAAAAACATTCATTCATATAATTTGAAACGTTGTAAATGGCGCCATCTTGAAGTTTCAATAACTTCCTTTTAACTTTTATAATAATAAAGTCAACTCCTCGTTTAAAATTTCTATAAACCGACAACGCGTAAAAATGTTAAGCTTTAATTAAAACACTTGAAACATATTTGTTAAATACGCATTTATAAAAATACATTCGCATTATATCGAACGAGTTCAGAAGTTTCAACAAAAAATTCAATAGATGGCGCTGATGTACTCCATTCATCAGTACTTTACGATATACAGATTTTATCAATTTAAAACCTTTTATAATTTAATTGTTTTTAAAAATACAATAACTTGTTGCTGTTTTATTGTTTTAGAATTCTTAATAAAATACGATCGTTTTCCAAGTGATGAACGAACGGTCCTCTAATTTTTTAGTTGCAAACATTTTGTCAATCAACAGGAATCGTGTAATATAATTATGAATGGTTATTCTGTACCGTGACTATGGTCGTGAACTTCACGCATGCGCGGTGCATACTTTTGGTACATTTCTTTTGTGACGTCACTACTACCAACCAAGATTTAAGGAATAGTGGCGCATGCGTGGTGCGTGCGGGGCGCATTCATTACTTTACAAAGGCGCGTATTTATGTTAGCCGTTTTTTTACAAACTTTTATTATATTATTGAATTTTAATAAACGCGTTTGTACATTTTATGTATGTTATATATTCACGATATTTATAGGTAGGCAAAGCCTTTTCGCCTATATGGACTGCACGCCACTGC